CTGGGAAAAGCTTACGGAAAAATAGGGTGGCTGTTGAGGAAAATTATTTTTAAAGATATGGAGTGTGTAACCCTCTCGCTACGGCAGGACTTGAATGCGTAACGTCGCTAATTTTTAAAATTGGTTATTTTGGCCGCATCGTTTCGAAATTGAAGGAACAAAGGAGTAAATGATAAAATGAATGATTAAATTAAGGCGGAAGTGCACCAAACAGTAGGTACAGCGCGAAAAAGAAGGGTGTCTGTTGAGAAAAATTGTTTTCAACTTTGTGGAATGTTGAACCTTTCTGCTGTGGCAGATTTGAATGCGTAAATTTGTTATTTTGGCCATATCGTCGTGAAATTAAAGGGACAAAGGATAAAATTAAGAAGGAAATGCACCAAAAGGAAATTTAAAAACGCCTACAGCCAGAAACCAATTTGAATTTTGTTCACCCTCGAGTACCAAGATACCGGGCTTTTAAATTGAAAAGGAACGTGGTGGATTTTTATCGCAGTATCGAAATCTACCCCCTTGTGCGAAGGTGTGACGCTCGAGGGAAAGATTTCAACCGTACTTTATTAAGAAGTCGAGGAAATCTCGAGGATATGCAGTGGGCGAGTGTTATTATTAGCAAGAGGATCGTTACAATGTTAGGTCGTTAAATTAGAAATGATCCTGGTTGACTGACCTCTCTCTCTCTCTCTCTCTGTCGCAATATTTATCGAGAATCTTCCCCCGTCTAAGAAGGTGTAAAATTCTAGGGGAAAGGTTTCGAGCTGTACGTTAACAAGTATAGCTCGCGTCGAAGAGCGTTATTAACAGGAAGAGGATCGTTAAGGAGACGGGGAATCGACCGAGCGTTACGAGCCACCCTGTTCGTAGCAGAGCCGTTTCCCTCTGTTCAACCGGTTCCTCCCCTGTGAACTTGGTCGTTACTCTCAGCCGCTGATCCGTGATACCCGTAATTTTCCCCGCGGATTCTCTGGAAAACCGAGCACCACCTCGTTACAGGTGGCAGGGAAAGTTTGCTCGTAAAACGTTTCACGCGAAGTGAACTCTCGTCGGAACAGAGGACGGAGGAGTAGTGTGAGACAGTTATCTTATTAGAAGACGCACGTGTCAGAGACGACGCATTTAGCGGCATAGGCCTCTTGCAAAAGAACATCGTATCGCCAGCGAGCGGAACCTTAAAATCTGTCATTGGGGAATAGGCTCGGCGGCGTAGAACCGATGGCAAAGGTCCCGACGTCCTGTTGCCGAACACAAAGAGGGCCGGTGGTCCTTCCTTCGATGGATGCTTCCTAGCGCGTACAGAGAGATACGGATTCGGAACAAAGGATCTCGCCACGAAGTGGGACTCTCCGGGAAAGAGGACTGTGTCAAAAGGCACGGGCACTTACCCGAGAACCTTCGGCGAAAAAAGAATTCTAACATGCTTGTTTTTACGCAAAGGAAAATTGGGTGGTTTTGCTTATCGTTAAAGGATCTCGCCACGAAGTGGGACTCTTCGGGAAAGAGGACTGTGTCAAAAGGCACGGCACTTACCCGGGAACCTTCGGCGAAAAAAGAATTCTAACATGCTTGTTTTTACGCAAAGGAAAATTGGGTGGTTTTGCTTATCGTTGGAACGGAATCGGTAAATTCTAACGCGATCGAGTTCACGGCGAGAGAGTCGCGTAGATATCCGCGAAACACGCTGCCGCTTGAATTAAACTTCGATTGAAACGGTTAAATGGTTGTAATTACAACGTCAACGAAGATCGATGTCCGATAATTCGCCGCATCGTAGTGAATTCTGCGCAGAGAAATTTGCGCGTTCAACGCGCTGCCGCCAATTGACGTTCGATGATTTTGCTTTGGATGTTCGGGGGGGAATTGAAATCGATAACGTAATGTGTAGAAATTTGGTTAGGCGAGAGAAGGATGTTTAAATCGGTTTCAGTCGGAAGTTGGAATTTTGCCGCCACGCGTATTTACACGCGTTAACTTACCACCGGAAGTAGTTGTGATACAAGAATGTAGCGGGAGGAATCGTGAGGTTCGAGGTTACGCGACACACTTTCCCGCACCGCAGTTTAACTATGAATAATTCACCGACGGAACGCAGAAAGTAAATTCATCGCCTTACACGGACGGACCTCGCGAGAGCCGGTCCGCACGCGGATTTACTCTTGCACTTTATCTCGTGAATTATTCACACCTTGGATTACCGAGACGCCGTTATTCGGTCAGCGCAAACATTTGTCCGATCGCGTTTCGTGTCCGCAACGGTTACCTCGAAAATCTCGGAGTGAGCGAGAGGCTGATTGAGTGACTGAGTAAGTGAGAGAATAATTGAGCGAGTGTGTTAGTCAGTCAGGCGGTCAGGCGGTGAGTGAACGAACGAACAAGTAAGTGCGTGAGTGAACGAGAGATTGAGTGCGTGAGTGAACGAGTGAGTGAATAATTGAGAGAGTAAGTGAGTGAAAGAACGAGTGAGTGACCGAGCGAGAGACTGGCTGAGTGATCGGGGGAATGAGAATGAGAGAACAGAGAAAAGAATTTTTTGAGCGCGTACATCGAGGGTTACGTCGATAGCGACGAGTGTTCGAACGCGCAGGAATACGCGTCGATACACGTCGATGTAGGTCCACCACTGGACATATGTACATTATTACCCGCGCTAAAGTCGGATATATCGCTTATCTGTGAAATTATCGGCACCTCTTTGCTAGGATACGCGAATATTGGAACGAACGAGACAAACTTTACGACGTTCCTTTCCAACCCCGCGCTGGACACGCGTAAGCCCGCGGTACGTTTCTTGAAATAAACAATCGTAAACAGTTGCATTTACGAGCAAAAAGTATGGTTGCACGTTAGGAGGACCATCGTGAAAGAGAATCGAGTTAATTCTCATTGAGCACTCGTCTAATGAAGTATTCAGGATAGCCGAAAGGTGCGAGAAAGGGGCGGTACCGAGAAATAGTTTTGGCAATCGGGGCGAGAGCGAGGGAGAACGGAGAGAAAACGGAATTTCCACGGCTAATTGTGCAAATTCATTTCGGTCACCCTTTAATCGCTCGATTACCAAGGACAAAGGCCGGCCTAGATAAAGGGATA